AATCCCTTAACCTCTTTCACCCTGCCCCCCCAATCCCTCTCCCATCTGGCACCCATTAGTTTGTTCCCTGAATCTATGAGTCTGTTTCTGTTTGTTGGTTCATTTATTTTGTTCTTTAGATTCTACATGTAAGTGAGATCATATGGTATTTGTCTTTCTCTGTCTGACTTATTTCACTTAGCATAATACCTTCCAGATCCATCCATGTTGTCTCAAATGGTAATATTCCATTTGTCTTTATGGCACAGTAATATTTCATTGTATAAATGTACCACAATTTCTTTATCCAATCGTCTACTGATGGGCATTTTGGTTGTTTCCATATCTTGGCTATTGTGAGTAGCACTGCAGTAAACATAGGGGTATATAGCATATATTCTTTTGAACTAGTGTTTTGTATTTCTTCAGATAAACACACAGGAGTGGAATTGCTGGGTTATAAGGTAGTTCTATTTTTAATTTTTTGAGAAACCACCATACTGATATCCATAGTGGCTACACCAATTTGTAATCCTACCAACAGTGCACCAGGGTTCCCTTTTCTCCACACCCTCGCCAACACTTGTTGTTTGTTGATTTATTGTTGAGAGTCATTCTGACAGGAGTGAGGTGGTATCTCATTGTGGTTTTTATTTGCATTTTTCTGATGATTAGTGACTTTGAGCATCTTTCATATGTCTATTGGCCATCTGTATGTCCTCTTCTTTGAGAAATGTCTGTTCAGGTCCTCTGCCCATGTTTTAATTGGATTGTTAGGTTTTTTCCAGTGTTAAGTTGTGTGAGTTCTTTATAAATTTTGAATATTAACCTCTTATCAGATGTATCATTGGTGAATATCTTCTTCCATTCAGTAAGTTGTCTTTCCATTTTGTTGATGGTTTCCTTTGCTGTGCAAAAAACTTTTTAGTTTGATGTAGTCTCATTTATTTATTTTTTTCTTTTGTTTCCCTTGCCCAAGGCAACATATCAGAAAAAATATTACTATGAGAAATGTCAGATAGTTGACTGCCTGTTTTCTTTTAGGAATTTTATGGTTTCAGGTCTTACATTTAAGTTTTTAATCCATTTTGAGTTTATTCTTGTATATGGTGTAAGAAGGTGGCCTAATTTCATTATTTTGCATGTGTCTGTCCATTTTTCCCAACACCACTTGTTGAATAGACTGTCTTTACCCCATTGTAAAATATTGGATTGTCAGAAAAGTCATGACATATTTTTTCTATGTTTTTCGTTGCAAAAATGTGTCATGACTTTTCTGACAACCCAATATTTTTGCTTGCTTTGTCATATATTAATTGACCATATAGGCATGGTTTTATTTCTGGGCTCCATTCTATTCCATTGATCTATGTGTTTGTTTTTATGCTAGTTTTGCTGTTTTGAATACTATAGCCTTGTATTGTTTTGCATTTGTGATACCTCCAACTTTGTTCTTCTTTCTCAAGATTGCTGTGGCTATTCAGGATCTTTTATGGTTCCATATAAATTTTAGGATTATTTGTTTGGGTTCTGTGAAAAATGGCATTGTTATTTTGATAGGGATTACACTGAATCTATAGATTGATCTGGGTAGCATGAACATTTAACGATGTTAAAAAAGAGAAAATACTGTATGATTCTATTTATCTAAAATTCTACAAAATGTAAATTAACCCATAGTGACAGAAAACAGGTTGCCTGGTGACAAGGTGGTGGGTGGGAGAAAAAGAGGCAGAATTACAAAGGGGCATAAGGTTGCTATTTGGGAATAGGCTCATTAATTTGCCAGTTGTATACTTTAAATATATGCAGTTTATTGTATGTCATTAATTAAGCCAGTTATGCCAGTCTCATGCCAATAATGTCCAATTAGCTGGAGGTCAGTGTGGCAGGTTTTTGAGAGTTTTAAGTCAGGAGATACACAAGTGGTATTCATTCATTCATCAAAAAAAAAAAAGTGTGTGTATGTGTGAAATCTGTGTGGTGCCAGGTTTTGTGCTAGGGTCTGGATATATAGAGTTGAATCAGATATAAATCCTTCCCTTAAGGAAGTCAAGGTCGTATACAAGGTAAATGGAACTTCTAAGTCTGAGACCATCCAGAAGCATGTGAAGATCTAATAGGATGGGATGAGCTATGAGTGTGGACGGGTCAGACTCAGGCCAGGCAGATCCAGGGTTGGGCACTGAGGGAATGCTACATTGATCTGGGAGAGATGTCTCAAGATCCAGGTTCTGGCCCTTTGACATCCAAAATTGAGCCACTCAGCAAGCTTTATGGGCAGGGGCAGACTCCCTGACAAGGAGAGGGTAGGGTAAGTGCTCCCAAATATGTCTGTACAATGAGCCAAAAAACTAAAGGAAGCATATATGGGAATGGTCAACTTGAACAATACTGAAGAAACTGGCTGGTTTAGAATGGAAAGTCCATAGTAGAGAAGAGAGAAAAATAATGTGCCAGGGACCAGTATGCATGGGAGTGGACCTAAACTGGAATCTGAGGGGCTCTTAAAACCCACTCTGAACAAGCGTAGCTCAGTGGGTGCCAGATAGGGATTGGCACAGATGGGGAGAGGAGAAGTGTCTTCCTTGGTATAGTGAGGGGCGGAGCCAGGTCAGAGGATGGATGGGAATCTTTTTTGTGGCTATGAACCCAGGAGTAGCATAGCCAAGGCTTCACAGCCAATCAGAGTTCTATATTCAAAATAGCCAAGGCCACCCTTTGACCAAATGGCAGAGGGAGGAGCCAGTCTTTGCTCACCATCAGGAAAACAGATAACCTTAGAGGAATGGAAGTGTAGGATTTTTGACAAGGAGCCCAGGAAAAGAAAGTATCCAGGTTAGGGCAGAAATTGTTGCTGATGGGAGATGCTCAGTTGTGTGTTGTTGGGGGTGAGGGGAGGCAAGCTAAGAGGGCTAAAAGTTAAAGATCACAGCCAATTTTTAAAAAGACATTAGGACACACAGGGACTAGAGTTGGTTAGAAAGAGGCAAGGTGTGCACCAACAGATCTCCCAAGCACACAGGCTACTTTTGAGATTGCCCAGGAACTCTGACTCTCCCATTCTGTCATATCCCTACAGAGCCAGGCATCATTAGTGCCAGATTATTAAAGGACATGGTGGCCGAGCATAGGAGATTAGACATGACGTGATGAGTCCTAAGAATCACTGCAAGCTTCTAAGCAAGAGCACAACAAATGAGAAAAGGATCGATATGCCAAATTGGAGAGAGGAAGAGAGAGCTTGCCAAGGAAGCCAACTTGAAAGCTATTGCAGCAACTCAGGAGTTATTCAGTGAGGGTGGCAGCTGGGAAGAACAACTCAGAGAGGTAGGGGAGGAAGCCAAATTGCAGGAGATTAAGAAGGGGATGAGCTGGTTGCCTCTGTGTGGTAGGTTGTACCAACAACCACAACTATAGATGGATAGCTATGCAATCAAGCAAATATGCATATAGTAAAATCTTAGTTGAAGAAAATAGGTGGTGGGTATGGCAGTGTTCACTGTACAATGCTTTTCAATTTTTTGTTTGAAATTTTTTGTAAATGTTTGAAGATTTACACAATAAAATGGCAAGAAGAAATGACAAAAACTATTCCCCTTTTTCTATTTGTTCCCTTGCAATATGATTTTACACATTCTCCCATCAAAAAATGGACTCTTCCACCATGTGAGTCTGGGTTAGCCACACAACTTGATTTGGCCAATGGGACTTTAGCATATATGACATATGCAGATGCTTGAAAAGTGCTTGGGCATTGGGACTTGCTTACCTTTCTGCTGATCTTGAGAACACTGCAACTACCATCATATAAATGATCTTGGGCTAGCCTGTTGGATGATAATAGAAACATGGCCCAGTTATGCCCATCACTCCAGCCAACAACCAACTACCCACCAGACATGTTTTTGGGGCCATTGACTGCCAGCTGATCACAGATGCATGACTAAGCCCTGCTGAGAGCAGAAATGCCCAGCTGAGCCTATCTCAAAAGGGCGACCCACAGAATTGTGAGCAATTAGTTGACTGCTGGTTTAAGCCACTAAGTTTTGAGGAAATTTGCTACATGGCAAAAGCTGACAGATACATTCTATTCAGTATCCCTTTGACTTCATTCCAAGGGAGCTCTATGTTGAGCATCCCCTGTCTGGCTCTGACTGGCTCTGAATATTTTTAGGGAGAGGTCAGTGGTATCTAAGGGATAAGGGGAGGTTGACATGGGATGGGGACAGTGTGACATGAGGAAAGGATGACATGGGGCAGAGCCAGTGTGACATGAGGGCCAGGGTGTGACATGGGGGAGGGCTCAGTGTGTTAAATGAGGGGGGTCTGGAGTTCATAGAGGAGGGAGTTTATTTTTAAGTTGAGGGCTGGTAAATGTAACACAGAGAGGTGGAGTTCAGCCATACTAAGTGAGGACAGGTGAGTAAGCCTAAAGGAACCCGGGGGCTGAATTATTACTGGAGACAGTGGATCAAGGCAGACAGGATGGCCGGTTGAAATATCTCTTTGCTAATAATAAAGAAGAGAAAAGCTCTTGGCTTATAGTGCACCCCTCTGGGGGTCAGGCATCTCACATTGGAGAAATTTCCCAGACTATAATGGGAGGGCAGACATTCTAGAGCAGCGGTTCTCAACCTGTGGGTCGCGACCCTTTGGGGGTCCAATGACCCTTTCACAGGGGTCACCTAAGACATCGGAAAACAAAAAGATATTTACATTACGATTCATAACAGTAGCAAAATTACAGTGATAGAGTAGCAACGAAAATAATTTTATGGGTGGGGGTCACCACAACATGAGGAACTGTATTAAGGGGTCGCGGCATTAGGAAGGTTGAGAACCGCTGCTCTAGAGAGATAGGATCTTGCTGTCTGTCCTCCCTCTGATGCCATCCTCCCTTAATTAAGAGCACCTGGCTCACTTGACCCTTCCCTGTCCCTTGTAGTTTCTTCCTTTGCAAAGCATCCAGTTGATCAGTCTGGTTGGTAGTTCACTCCCTTCCCAGGTCTTCTCACTAGAAGAGGGTGTGAAGACAGCAGATATGAATCACCTCTTTCTAATCTTCACCTTTCTGACAGTGACTGGTGAGTGCAGGTTCTTATTTTGGCTTAAAATTCTGAAAAGGTCATATTGGAGGAAAGTGTAGGAAATGGGTTTAGATAAGAGATGTAAAGAGATCATCAGTTAGAAACAAACAAACAAACAAACAAAGGACCCCAGTGGTTGGCAGTTTCCTGGAACACTCAAAGATATCTAGAGCCCACTGATTTTCCTCTGCCTCCCTGGGTGCAAGAGAAGATGTGGACTGAGATAATGAGACTTGACACAGTGGGTGACGGGTATTGGCAAAACAATCTGATTTTGCTGTATAGCTAGGAAGGAAGCTTGAAGAAAAGAGAAGAATCAAAAGGAAACAAGGAAGGAGAGGAGTGAATAAGAAGGAGAACACAAATACAGAGAGGACTCCAAGGGAAAATTCATAGAAGGAACCTGAAATGGTTCAATAATACCTTAAATATCAGTAACACATTAACCATTTCAAAGTACTTACACATAAAATGCCTTAGATGTCCTTCTGCTGGAAGGTCTGTCCCTGGCTGTAAGATTCTGCTCTCTTCCCTCCTGTCTGGCAGCAGTAACAACAACAATCAGAATACCAACGCCAGCACGAGCAAAATTAGTCCAGCCAATCAATCAGAAGAACATCAAAACTTCACCAACATTTTTGATTTTCCTGAACTCAGAATATGAGCCTTGTTTGGGGACCCTGATCCACAAACAGTGGGCTCTCACTGCAGCCCACTGCTTCTTACCGTGAGTGATGCGGGTCTTGGAGAAAGAGGTTTTCCCCCTTCATCACTGGGATTGCTCAGGGGAGACTGCGGATCAGCCCTGAAGAGACTTGCACAGGGGGACTCTCAAACCTGAGAATGGGTTGGAAGGAAGCAGAAAATATACCTTGGTAGTTATGAGTTAGATTCCTGAGTGGGATGGTGTAGACAGAGGGAATGGGGAAGGTGAGGACCAGGGGATAAACCAGTAGGGACTAAATCCTACATACAATGTGGTACAAATCAAAGAATTATGGAACTGTGATGGAAGTTGTTCATTTTCCAAACAAGGAGACAGAGGTCTCCTTGGTTATAAAAATTGTGTAAAATCACAAAGCAAGTTAGGGGGAGAAAAGATTCAAGATGAACAATAGATTAATATCTCCTTCCTTTACTGATCCCTCATGGCCTATTCCAGGTTTCTTAAGATAGACATGGCTGCTTCAAAAGAGGAGGTTTTCCGAAACAAGACGGAGAGCTTAAGGCCCATGCTTACTGTCCAATACCCAAATTTCACCCGGGATTCTGCTGAGCATGATCTCATGCTCATCAAGCTGAAGCAGCCCCTGAAGCTCAATAGCCAGGTGAAGCTGGTGGCTCTGCCCAATACTACGGATGACAGAAGAGGGGACACATGCACCGTCTCTGGCTGGGGCTGGAAATGGGAGAATTCCAGTGAGTGACCCTTAAGACAGACCTTTAGTGCTCCTTGAGCACCTAGCCAATTAGGATTATCATATAACTTTTATTATAGATAATGAGATCTGGGAGGGGCATGAGAATTTATGTATCTTAACCTCTAATTTTATTCATGTGGAAATTGAGGCTCAAATTGTTGACATGATATACCTAGGGGTAACATGGCTTTTAATGGCTGGAGGCCTCTGGAATCCAGTGTTCTTGCCTCATTCATCACCCAGATGAGGGTAAAATGGTGTTTGGGTGAGGAAGTGGTGGGAGGGCAATCTCACTGGCGGCTCATTCATTAGAAACTTCCAGACAGACATTCACAAATGAAAGCATGCACGCGCAAGCCCGAGGTATGCAGTTTACAATACTGGAACCGGACCTTGGTTTTCTCATTTCATTATCTGTTCTCTTCTTCTCTGGTTTCCTTTTGTTTGGGCTTTTTCTTTCATTGAATGATGAAGAGGTTAATAACAGAAAAGAGGGAAGGAAGGAGAGAGGAAACGGAGATGGATATATGAAGGATCAAAGAGACAGAATCTCTCTCTCTCTCTCTCTCTCTCTCTCTCTCTCTCTCTCTCTCTCTTTCTCTCTCTGTGTGTGTGTGTGTGCACGCGTGCACGCACATGCTCAGACACAGACCCTGATATCCAGATAAACCAGACTGTCTTTTGGTTCTCTGATGAATACTGCCAAGAGTCTCCTGTAAGGCAAATTCCTGTTAAAATCACAGAGAACATGTTCTGTGCAGGATCATCTCTGGAGAGCGCACACACATGTAAGGTATCTCTTCTCCCTCTGCCCCTCTTACGTTTTGCCTGGGACACTGTTTGGGGGTCCACATATCTCCCTTAACCCAATCCAATTTTCTGTCTCTACATCCAAGAAGAGATCAAGGTTAATGGAGTCCTGGAAGGAATAAGTGTCCTCCTTCCAATCATGAGTGAACATAGATGTCAGGGTGGAAGCATCTCAGAATGTTCTCATTTCTTTATCGCTTCCTCTGATGTGGCCTAGGGTGAGTGGTGGCCAAGATGGCCACCAGAAATCTTTCCCAGCCCTTATCACCTAAATCTTCCTATTCTGGGCCCCTTGGGTAGGGACTTGATACTAAATCATCTTTATTTTGGCTACTCTGCCTGACTCGTCTCCTTTTCTAATAGGAAATGGCTGCTGCCCCAATCCTGTGCCAAAATCAGCTCCAAGGGATCCTATCCTGGTCAGATGGGTGTATTCTGAGAGGTGACATTGGCTACTACACCAAGGTTGCCCACTATACAGACTGGATTCTCAAAGTCATCCACACCAACTGAGCTCTCTTTATTTGCTCTTCCAGCGGCCTCAGAACTTGGTCTACATTCCTTGACTGTTCCTTTCCCTCTAGCTTTAGAACAAGATGGGAATAGATTCTTGGCTGTAAGAAGTTTTATGTTCCTTCTGTTCTCTTGACTTCTCTCATCCTTTCTCTGCCCCCATTTGAATGATTATCAAAGGATTTGAGCTGGGGAATGTTCTCATAAATGGAATCACTTCTCACCACTCCCTTCCTCTCTTCCAACTTCCTACATACCTGTGTGGTTTCCTCAGACTTTTCTGGAGCTGTTCTCTCCCCATCACTCTCCAGAAGACACATGGGCCTCAGAAATGTGACAGTGAGATTGGGAGCACCTCTATGGTGATTTCTTTTGTCTGGTGTCCCTTAGTGCTTAGTCAGGCTCCAGCTGGTGCCCTCTCACCCCACCCCATCTAATTAAGGCTGCAGTAAATTCCGGGTGTTAAATGGGCTGCTAGCAATAAAATTATTAGAAATGGAGGCTAGAAATTTATGACAGCAGGGACTATAAGGGTTTCAAAAAGGGTTAGGAGATGAAGCAGAAGGGGGAACGAAGAGAGGAGTTAAGTGGGTCAGACCACCAACAGGAAAAGAGGGATGATCTTTGGAGAAATCATTCTTAATGCTAAGTACAGGGAATTCTAAGAAAGATGGCTGGAAGGAGAGCACTAGAAGCACAACAAGGAAATACCGAAATCTAGGCGAGTAAACTGTGGTTCTGTGTGTGTGTGTGTGTGTGTGTGTGTGTGTGTGTGTGTGTGTGTGTCAGTGTGCCTATGCACATATGTGTGNTGTGTGTGTGTGTGTGTGTGTGTGTGTGTGTGTGTGTGTGTGTGTGTGTCAGTGTGCCTATGCACATATGTGTGTATAGAACGGAGGGCGTTTTGCACAGAGTGATCTCACTGAACCAACCAAAATTACTCCTATGCCAATCGCCAATTCTGCTGATTTTCTTCAATTCCTGCTTTTACCTGCTCTTATACTACCTTTATAAATTATTTTTTAAAACAGAATGTGTCCTATACTTTTATTATGACATTTTATTTGAAACTGTTAAGACAAGAAGTTACAAAAAATATTACAGAGAGTTTCTGTGCACCCAATACTGCCCCAGTGATAATGTCTTCTATAACCATAGTAAAATGTCAAAACCAGGAAATTCACAGTGGTACAATGCTGTTTACTCAGATACAGAACTTAGGTAGATTTCACCAGTCTTTCTTTACATACACTGTTTGTTTTTAGAGGGTGAAATTTGAAATCTTATCACATGCGTGGATTATTATAACTCTCACTACAATCAAAATCCAAAACTTTTCCATCACCAGAAAGAAACTCCTTTGTGTTACATTTTAAAAATCGGACTCTCTCCCAACACTAAACCCCTTGCAACCATTGATCTATTATCAATCACTATAGTTTTGTCACTTCAAGAATGTTACATAATATGCAACCCATATAATTCCACTGGTCTTTTTTTCATTTGTGATGTTTCAGATGTCTTTTCATTATCATTTTCTTTCTGTCTGAAGAAGTTTGGTTAGTCATTCATTCTTTTAGAGCAGATCTTAGGGTTTCTTAACCTTCTTTCCTGAAGGATGATTTTTACTGGATAAAGAATTCAGGATTGACAATGCTTTTCTTTCAGGACTTGGAAAATATTTTCCTCTTCCTTCAATCCAAGTTTCTGAGGAGAAATCTGCTGTCATTTGAATCATTGTTTTCCAATTGGTAATTCATTGTTTCTCTCTAGCTGTGGCTGTTTTCAAAAGTTTTTCTTTGTCTTTTATTTTCAGAAGTTTGATTATGTGTCTGGATGTGAAATCTTAAAGTTTGTTCTGTTTGGGGTATACTCAGTTTCTCAAATTTGTAGGTTTATGTCTTTCACCAAATTTGAAGAACTTAAGCCATTGTTTCTTCAAATAGTTTTCAGTTCAACGTTCTTTTTATTCTTCTGAAACTTTGATAACATAAATGTTACATCTTCTGCTACCATCTCACAGGTCCCTGGGGATCCATTAATTTTTTAAAACTCTCTTTTTTTTCTCTGTTGTTCATATTGATAATTTCTATTGTTCTATCTTTAAATCCACTGACTTCTGGCATCCCCCTTTTGCTATTGAGCCCATCGTTTTAATTATGTTTTTTTGTTTTCTGTATTTCTTTCATATCTTGGGGGCTTTGCTGGCCAGGAGGAGACTTCCCCTCCCATAGATAACTAATTCCTAGAGATAGCAAATGACTCCCCCAACCACGTGCTTTTCATGTGCAAACAAACCAATCTAGAGCCAGTACCTCCAACTACCTCCTTTATTTAACTTACACACACTAAGCCAATATTTCCCTTACCCTAAATCACCCCAGGACCAAGTACTGAACAACTAGAGACCACCACTGTAGCCCAGAGCCTGGTGAAACTATCCAAACTATGCAACCCTAGGCTTGCTCAAACTTGCCTCCCCTGCCTTGTCGATTCCTTCTTTCAGAAACCACAATACAGGTCTGTGCTAGTGCTGTCTCCTCACTCCTCCTGCCTCTTGACTGACCCTGGTACTTCCTCATCCAGTCCCGCATGGCATGGCATGCCCCTTCATAAACTCTGTTCAATGGCATTGACCTCTCAGTGTCCTCTCTCAGTCACCTCTATGAATTAATCCCAAGTCCAATCAAAACACTTAGCTAATGAGTTTGGGGTTTTTTTTGAAAAGAAAACATGATTTTAAATATCCATATCTTCTTATTTTTCTAAATGTCAACGTTCTCGGTCAAACTTGAAAACACTATAAAACAAGTCCTTGGCAACCTCCAAATTACTCTTGGTGACCTTGATATCTCTCTGGCCATAATCTTGGGAACAGAGGGCATGCAAAAGTCACCTTAAGAGTTTTTAATTTCAGTTCCTATGTTTTTTACTTCTAAAATTTTCATTTGGCTCTTATTTATGTCTTCTATAAACCTTTGGTAAGGTTTTCCATTTTTTCATTTAATTTGAGAGTGTTTAAAATTGCTTATTGGACTGTTTTTTATAATAGTTACTTTAGAACCCCTGTCTCATAATTCCATCTGCATCATCTTGATGTTGGCATCTATTGATTGTTTTTTTTCTCATTTGAGTTGAAATTTTCATGATATGGTGAGAAATTTTGGACTATATCCTGGACATTTGGATATTATAAGACTCTTGTTCCTATTTAGATCTCCTATTTAGCGGGTGGTTAACCTGTTTGTGTTCAGAATGTATATCCTAGCCCACTTTTGTGGGCAGTAGTTCAAATGTCAATTTAGATTATAAAGTGTCTTCCGTGCTATGCTGTAGGGGCTGTGGCAGACAGAATAATGCCCCCCCCCCACCCCAGGAGTCTACATCCTAATCCTTGGAACCTATGAATATATTACCTTACACGGTAAAAGACACTTTGTAAATGTGATTAACTTAAGGCTCTCGATATGGGAAGAGTGTCCTGAATTGTCCATGTGGGCCCAATGTAATCACAAGTGTCTTTATAAGAGGAAGGCAAAAAGCTCAAAAAAAAAAGGGGAGATATGATCACAGAAATAGAGGGTGGAATGATGTGCTTTGAAGATGAAGGAAGGGGCCATGAGCCACGGTGTGCAGGTAGCCTTTAGAAGCTGGAAAAGGCAAGGAAACGGGTTCTCCCCAGAGCCTTCAGAAAGAATACAGCTTTGTGAACACCTTGATTTTAATCCCATAAAACCCATTTTGGCCTTCTGATCTCCAGAACTAGAAGGTAATACACTTGTGTTGTTTTAAGCCATTAAGTTTGTGGCAATTTCTTACAATAGCAACAGGTAACTAATATAGGGGTGGAAGTTCGAGTTCCACCCAGCAGCTCCACCACTGCAGCACCACTGGGGTGAGGGAGGGCATGGCTTTTCATGGTGTTTATCTCAACAACAAGCAAATGGCCAATAACTTAGTGGCTTAAACAACACAAATCTATGTCTCTAGTTTCCCTGAGTCAAGAGTCCCCATAGCTCAGGGCCTGATAAAAGCTAAAATCAAGATGTCGGCTGGCTGCTTCCCCACCTGGTGGTTCAACTAGGGAAAGACCTACTTCCAACTCCTTCACATTGTTGGCAGAATTCCGTTCCTTGCAGTTTTAAGACTGAGATTCCTGTGTCTTGCTAGCTGTCATCTGGCGACCACTTAGTTCCTAGAGGTCATTCTAAGGTCCTTGCCCTTGGACCCCTCCCTCTTAGCAACAGAAAATCTCCCTCATGTCACACCCTTCTTAGGCTTTGACTCTCTCTGACTTCCCTTGTACTACAAGCTGAAGAAAAATTTTCACTTTTTATTTATTTATTTAAAGATTTTATTGGGGAATTGGGGGAGGGGAACAGACAAGTTGCTGTCCTTTTGTTCTTCAGTCTAGCTGTGGAGGACGCCGCTTCACTGGCCCATGTTGGTATTATGATCATTGTGCTCTTTTTCACTTTTAAAGTGCTCATGTGATTAGGCCAGGGCAACTTAGATAAATAATCTCCCTGTTTTAAGGTCAACCATGCCATATAATGTAGCGTAATCACAGAGGTAACGTCCATCAAATGCACAGTTCCAGGTAAGGGCATGTACATCAGTGGCAGAAAACTTTGGGAGTTATCTTAGAATCTCCCTACTATATGCCATTGATAGGTTTCTGCTCTGCTGGGCTGTCTTTTGGCTAGAGACAACAGGATTTTCTAGGGGCTTTTTTTATGTCTCTGCCCACAGTGTTCCCAGGTTGTAAACTTTTCTAGCACACAGGCCTGGATATACAGTACTCCCCTATCCCCCCACCACGTCCATCCATAGTTTCACTTTCTGTAGTTTCGGTTACCTGCAGTCAACCACAGTCCAACATATTAAATGGAAAATTTCAGAAAAAAACAATTCATAAGTTTTAAATTGCGTGTCATTCTGAGTACCATGATGAAATCACATGCTTTCATGCTTCATCCTCCCGGAGTCATGACTCATCC